GGTGAGGGTGATTGTGGAGCAACTGCTGGAATGAAGATTGGCAGGGGAAACCGAAGTACTCGGAAAAAAACCTGCCCCGGCGCCACTTTGTCCACCACAAATCCCACTTGACCAGACCCGGGATCAAACCTGGCCTGCCGCGGTGGGAAGCCAGCGACTAACCACTTGAGCTATGGCGCAGCCCTTACAGGATCTAAGTACACACCCATTAAAATGTGGCAATATAACTGCAACATTTTAGCAAATCTGTACTTACAGCCTATGTATGTTTTGATGAGTCCTATCTTCTGGGACATAATGCTGTGCAGTCTGCGGAAAGTCAGGAGCAACATGTTCCCTTCATCTTCAGGGTCAAAGAACAGGCCAAGCAATAAACTAGCATGAAGCACATAGGGAGCACAGCCTATGAGCATCTGCTTGCTACCAGATGTGAAGGATAATAAAATAAAACACTTTTGGTAGTGTGACAAACTATGATGTAGCTAATCAATTGAGACTGATTACAAACAAGCCAACTACACAATACACTCAAATCAGTGAACTACATAAGAGGCAGTGAAGGCTCTGATAACAGAAACTCTGTTAAATAGTTAAATTTTTGTTGCAAAATTCAGTGTGTGGAAAATTGTATGTCTTTAGTACAGAGTTTATTTGTTTTTTATGGTTATTTTCATTTAAATAGCAAAGATATTTCATAACAGCAAAAATGTTCATAATTTTGCTTTACCTTATTCAGAGGCATGGATTAAGCACAACAGAGATTTATCAAAGTTGAGTTGTCTTCTTTTGGATAAGGTGCCTACAAGCGAAAATTCTGACAATGTAATTGATTTGCTTTTCTCAGAGTGTGAAGTATTAACTGTCGATCTTGACAAACTACTGATGAATATACTTATTTATGCAGCTATCTATCGCAAAAAGAAAGTTTAACAGTTTCAATCCCCCCTTCTAAGGATCTTAAGTGTGTGCGCATTTGAAAGAAAATAATACGCCACATGGTAACCTGAAGAAGGTTGCTAACTTTTATTGCACTTGCCTCGTAGCAATTTATCCATTGAAAGCGTGTGTTCCAATATGAATTATACGTATGTGGGCACAATAAGTCATTTTAGCAGTGAAAACGAACGACTTATGTTTAGCGTTTGCTGAAAACTCTTGCATCAAATCCTGGAATACTGAAGAAGATAAATACGCCATCTTACGGGCCACCTCTTCAAAATAATGAAGGTACTGTTGATATCAAGTGGAGGAACTGTTTTGGAAGAGACTGTGGACCTGTCGTCTTGACAGATTACAGATGAATGAATGAAATATATATGTTTTTATCTAATCCAATTCTCTTCCGTTACTATTGTTCTACCTCACCTTTTCTTTCCGAACTCTTAATGGTAATAATCTTCTATAAACAGCTCAACTTAGTACATGAACCGATTCACACTATGTAATAAAGGAAGTTAACCGTTATTATTCAAATTCTCCTTCCCTTGTATCACATGACATAAACGACCGTTTCGAAACGCACAGAAAACATATTAGATGCCCATGTGTGCCATCTATGATTGGTATTGGTTATGCGTATAAATATGTAGTTGGACTCTGTTTGTGGGAAACATTGGGAGGGGCACAAACTACTAATATGCAGTATCGCCATCTAAACACCGGATTTCAAAATTGCTTCATGCAAGAAAAAAATATGAAATGAGATGGTATAATCATGTACGTCGTTACGGTCGTTACCCAGCACGGAGAGGATAGAGGCAACGAGCAGAATCAACATTTCCGGAAGCCATTGCTGCAAACAGTGAGGTGAGAATATAACAGATATTTAAGACTGCAGTTATTTCTAGACGGTATATTGGTGCTTACCATCAGGCCCTACTCAGCCAGTGAGGTCGGCCTCTACTGGCTCAGGGGTATCTCAATATCTCAATGTTTCCCCAACTACCAGAGGCGTTAGAGACTGCTGTTGGGTGGGAAATGTCCTTAATTTAGCTCAGTGGCCTCCTTTGGAGACATGAGGTTCTTTTACGTGCCGTAAAGTTACGACACGGTACCCACGGCTTAAAGTCCCTCCCGGAGTACTTGTTCCCTGAATTTTTCCGCCCTTAAAAATTCCATGACCTCCGCTGCGTACCTTGAGTCATGAGGTGGGAACGTTACCCCTAGACTACGGAGGCCGCTTAGTGAAAGTGTTAGAGTTATTTGTAGTTACGACTGTCAGATGTCCAGTCCAGCATACTTTGGAGTTGATAATCACTGCCAGCGTATTAATACAGAACTCCTAACAGTAACATCAATATATTTATTGAAACTATGGACATAATAATTAATGAGTTACTAAATAAAGGTAAGAAAATTATTATTGTAGGTGACTTCAATATAGATTTCTTAAGAAATAGGGTAAACATACAACTATAGACAATGATCAATTCATACGGCTTGCAAGCAATAGTGGATGTTCCAACGAGAATCGGTTCTAGAAGTCAAACGGCCATAGATCAAATAATATTAAAGAAGGGCTTACGGGAATACAAATTTGAGGTGAGCGAAACAGGATTTTCTGACCATAGCGCGCAGATATTACAAGTACAGATGAAGCAAAAGAATAAGAATAAAAAAGGGCAAGCCAGAGCAGAGGGAGAATATAGAATGGTCAGAAATTATAGCAAAAAAACGTTCAATATCTAAATTATCTACTAGACAAAGAGACTTGGGAGGTTGTTTTTAAACAAAAATCAGCTAACAATGCATATAATGAATTTTTAGATACTTTTCAGTATTATGAACTAGCAATACCAAAAAAATGGGTAAAAAGTAAACAACATGAAAACAAATGGATTACCTCAGGTATAAGGGTATCAGGAAAGAGACTTCAATTTCTTAATAGGGTAATGAAAGAAGGGAATATTTCAGAAGAATTTAAAAAATACTACGGTCAGTACAAGAAAATTTATAACAAAGTGATCGATGAAGCAA